TCATTCTTATCTAGAAAGTTACTTAGAACTATTTTTCGATCTAAATACTTCTTGAATTACTTCACTTAGAGGTAAATATTTTCTATAAATTTCTATACTATAAAATATCTATACTAAAATAATATAAATATAAGAAATAATACTAAAATACTAATAAATTCAACTAATAAAAATATAATATAAATTATGCTAAACTCTATCCTATAATATATTCTCTTCCTTAAAGAAATTTGTTTCACAATTTTAAAATATCTAAGTATATAAAAATTAAAAAAATTCTGTTTCAAATAAATTCTCAGTTCTAAAAATTATTCAAAAATTATTTGAATATAGTTTGAAATAAAAAAATTTTGCTCTAAGAATTCTAAAGAGGATTGTTTAAAAATTATTGCCTTTTCTTCAGATTTTAAAAATTTTCTCTAAAAATTCAAAGTTTTGAAAATTAAAAATTAAATAAAAATTGAAATAAAATCAAAAATTAAAGTATTTCTAATTAAATAAGAAAATACTTAAAATATTTAAGAATATTAAAATAAGATTACTATTACTCTAATAAATAGTAATATTGAATAAAATAATTTAAATAATTAAGTAAAAAAAAATCTTACTTAGTGCTAGTCTACTACTATAACTCATCAGTAGATTAACTGTCAACTAGCAGGTATTAAATTTACGACTACTAGTCTCATAGTTACAAATCTATACTACTTTACTAAAGTAAGTAGATAATAAAAATTTTGTATGCACTCTTTAAGAATATTCAAATTTAGTAATAATAAACTAATAGAAATTAAGAATTGCACATATTTGAAATTAAGGTTTAAAATAGGATAAAAATTTAAAGTTTGTAAAAAAAAAAAATTTAAGAAAAGAAAATAAAAATAAAATGGAAAAAAGAAAGTATAGTAATTAATATTGAAGAGAGAGATCACTACACAGAAATATAAAAAGGTATAATAATATAATAAGAATAAAAAAAAAATAAAAATAAAAATATACTAAATAAAAAAAATATATAGGGTCAAGAAAGAAAGAAAGGAGAAAGAAAAAAAAGAAGAACTTATAAAAAAGGATAAGAAAATTTAGTTTTTGAAACAAGAAGTAGAGGAGTTAAAAAAAAGAGAAAAATAAAGGTATGAAGAGGAGATATTTAAGAAAAGAAATGAAAAGAAGAAAAGAAAAGAAAAAGAAAAAGTAGAGTTTAGTTCAGCAGAAAGGTATAAAGAAGTAGTGGAGTTTAAAATAAAAAATAATAGAGAGAAGTATGATAAAGTTGAATGTGAGAATAAGAAGTTGAAGAGTGAGTTAAGAGAAAAGGAGCTTATGAATATAGAGTTATTAAAGAAAGTTGATAAGTTAGAAAGAAATGTAATAGAAGATTTAGAAGAGCAAGTAGAAAAAATGTTAATAGATATTGATAAGGAGAAAATAGAATTAGAAAATGATTTAGAGTTAGCAAGTAGAGAAATTAGAAGGTTAGAGTAAGAAAATGAAGAATTGAAGAAATGATGAAATAAGTAGTTTGGAGTATAAAAGATTGTTACTAGAAAAAATAGTAAGATTTAAGTTTTAGACGAAGAGTAATTTTGTAAATAATTAAATAAATAAATAAAAATTTTAATATTGAATAAATCTCTATACTACTGTTTTTAAATAATAATTAAATAATTAATAAAGTAATAAAATAAAATAAAATAAAATAAAATAAAGAATAAATAAATTTGAATCCTATAATTTTGTAATAGGCTAAAAGATAAAGACCTTTTACAAATTACAATATATAGTAAAAACTTTGAATTCTAAGACTTTTCTGTTTTATGCATAAGCAAAATAAACAGAAAACAAGATAGTATCTATCATATTTGAATAGGCTAGAGCTTGTAAGAGGCCTTTACTACTTATAATTTTATACTATTAACAATCACATATAGTTTCCAAAATTCAGATTAACAAATACAGGTCTAATAATAAAGTTTTTGTAATCTATCTGCAAGCTGATAGGCTTATGATAGTTCATATAAATCTAGCAAAAACTGTTTGATATATATTAGCTAATAGCTTACTGATACTTGGTGCATATCTATTACCTATCGAAGTAGCATGTATTGACAGCTTTATAAGACCTATATGAAAATAATATAAGAATATCAGATATCAAAGATACTGGAATTAATATTTGTATAATATTTACTATATGAAATGAATATAGGAATATTAGCTATTCAATACTAAAATTAACTTTGTTAATATTTATATAATATTAATAAATATAAGAAAATCAGCTATCTGATATTAATATTAACAAAGTTAATATTTGTATGATATTTATCATATGAAATGAATATAGGAATATTAGCTGTTCGATATTAATATTAACTTCATTAATATTTATATAATATTTGCAAATTTATATTATTTTACTACACATATATAAATTTCAGCTTGGATATTTAAAGCTAATATTAACATTTATTTGTCTGATATTTATAAGATATCAGCATCAAAAGCAATATGAATTTTTCTATATTTCAAATTACAACTAAAAGCTATATACTCTAAAATATCTATGTTTTTCAAATTAATCTAACTTAACATAATCTCTATTCTTCTCATATTCTCTACTACTAAGCACATTATAGTGGCATTGATACTTGGAAGAAAATTTGATCTGAGAGGATTTTTGTAGAATACTTCTAGATAAAATATTATACTTGTGATGATTAGACGCAGTTCTTTTCTTTGATACTTTTCTGATAGACCTAGAGTATGATCTTTTCTTTGATACTTTTTTGGTAGACCCAGAATTACTTGAATTTGAATCATAGAATAATTTAATAAGACATAACAATTGACCTTTTAAATATCAGGTATATATATACCCTTGTTCAGATCTAGAATTATTGCTGAACCTAGAGTTGTTGGACCCAAAATTGTTGTTATCAGTATTAGATTCTAAATTATTATTATTAGACTCAAAATCTTTATTGTTGAGCCTAAAATTATTATTTTTAGACCTAGAATTGCTTTTGCAAGATCCAGAATTATTGTTATTATTAGATCTAGAATTGTTACTGTTGTTGCTATTATTGCTATTGTTACTGTTGTTGCTATTGTTACTATTGTTGTCATTGTGCTGTTGTTGCTGTTGTTACTGTTGTTGCTGTTATTACTGTTGTTACTGTTGTTGCTATTGTTGCTGTTGTTGCTGTTATTGTTATTGTTGCTGTTGTTACTGATGTTGCTATTGTTATTATTGTTGCTATTGTTGCTAATGTTACTATTATTGCCATTGTTGCTAATGTTGCTATTGTTAAACCTAGAATTTTTGCAATTATTAGATACATTAATTGTCCCAAGATTGTTATCGAACTCAAAATCATAATAAGATTTAGAATTATTAACAAACATATTATTGTTGGGCCTTGATTCTTTATTCTTAGATTTGTTGTATTTATTAGGATCATAAAATGAGGAAATTGTCCAAAAGGAGGCATCGAGTTAAGGTTTTAATAGATCTATTCAGTCAGTATTATAATGTTAATACCTTATAATTTTATTTGATTGATTTGTTAACACTATTTCCTTAGCTTGATGTAAAATTTTCTTATACTATTTTAAAAAAATTAGTTCGATATGAGTATAGTGAAAAAATATATTAAAATTAAAAAAATTATAGTTGTTAGGCATAACTATGTAATGCTAATACTGTAAATTCATATATTAATACATATTTTCATCTAATAACTATAATTAACTTACCTTTTCAGATCTCTATATAGATTTAATACCTTAACAACATGATCATTATTGATATTATTATTATTAAATTGTTTTTTAATAGATCTTTTATACTCTGCAAGCTCTACATCTATTTTAAATATTTCGTCAGAATAATATACTGTTTTAACTACTACTTCAGCAAGTTTATCTTTCTATTCATTCTTATAAACTGAACTTAGCTAGTATTTCTTAATACTAGAGTCTTTGATGTAAATCAAATGTTGAAGCCTATTAATCCTTAGCTTTTTTTTCTAAAAAAAAAAAAAAAAAAAAAAATATATATATATATGTATAAAATATATATATATATATATATATATAAAATATATATATCATCAAAAGATGTAGATCAACAACTCTTCTCTTAGATCATTTTGTCTACTTTTTGTGCTAAAGCAAAAACATATATTTTTGAATATCTATAACAGAAACAACTCAAGAGCTACTAAAGAAACAGAAAGAACTCATAGAAAAATACATAGTAGAGTAGAAAATTTAGAAACTACAGAAAGCATATAGTAAAGAAAAATGTTTAGAGAAAACTCGAATGAAATTTTTGAGAAAAGTGGTGAATCGTATTTATTCTATATTGCAGATCACTATATATAACACAAAAGTTACAAAACAAGATAAACAAACTTTATATGCACAAACTACTAAACAGACACATCATGTGGTAGCCAATAGAATAAAAGTATACAAGTCAGAAACTGAACAGAATGTAGACAATTAGGAAGAAATTTAGAATTTTTTAGAAAAAAGCCAAAGTCATTTCAAATATGAATACAACAAGCTTAGATTTAAGAAACAGGAATAAGGAGAGTAGTCAAATAAGTTATCTAAAGAAAAGCTATCTACTAAGCTCTAAAAAGATAGCAAGCCTCAAAGCATTATTTAAGGAAGAAAACCTCCAAAAACTAATAAGTATACTAGAAAAAATAGAAAGATGCTATGAACAAATAGATGAATATATATTAAAAATCACAGAGATAAGTATTAAAATTATCATAGTGACTAGAAATTGGTGTAAAATTATAAAGAAAATTATTATAGAAGAAGGCAAAGAGGTATTAGATTATACTCTTAATAAGCTAGAGCAAAAGCTAGTATTAGCAGAAGAAACTAAAAGAAGTTTAGTATAACTGAAAAATAGTGCTAACTTAGTTAGTGAAGCAGACTAGAATAACAAATATAACAAACAAGAAAATAATATAATATCAATGAACGAGCTTAAAGTATAGTAGCAAGTACTTATACAGTAGCAACTATATCTTCTAAAACAAAAAATCTAGAATACAATACAGAGACAATAGTCACCCAAGAAGTGGAGTATCTAAAAAGAAAGCTCGCAAATAGTAACAAAATAGTAGTTGAAATCTTGTTTATGAACGAGTAGTCAGAAGATATACAAGAAGCTTTAAAGGAGCAAGAACAAAGTAGCTCTAAAAACTTATTAGTACCTTGTCTAGAAAATAGTATAACTAGTATAGTGACTATGGAGAAAAAGCTAGTAGATCTAGTATAAAGGACTGAAAACTTAATACTAGAGGATACAGAAGATGCTCTACTTAGAAATTCACAAATAGAAATTAACAACTCAAAAAAACATTAGAAAAAGCAAATAGAGTATGCAGTTGCAAACTATAAGGAACCATATAGAACCTTTCTAGAGAATAGTATATAGGCACCTAATGAAGACTCTTGTGAAGAAACAGAAAATTACAAAGCAAAAATTGCTTCCATCTCATTACCTGGTAAAACAAAAGAAGAATATATCAAGTTTGTAAAAAAAATACTATACAAGAGTAACCACATAAGTAAAATTGTAGAGTATTTTAAAAATAGAAATAATTGAGTAGTTATCAAATTTAACTATCTCAAGGGTATAGAAATTCTGAAAAAGAAACTTAAAAAGAAAGAGATTAAATAGTACAAAGTACTTTTTGATGAGTACATTACTTAGAAGGAAGTTAAGTATATTCCTGTTAATGTAAATAAAATTAATTTAGCTAAGCTTAAAGAAAAGAGCTCTACTCGAAAATCTAAATATAACTTGGGCTCTGATGAAAGGAAAAAGAGCCAATTAAAGAAAGTATATAGAACAGAAATAAAAGATCTCCTGAAATTAAGTACCATAACAATTTGGAACTTGTCAAACTAGACAAAAAGAGTACATATCTTTGAATCAGTACAACATCTTAGCAGAATTAATCATATTTAAATCATTAAAGAAGTATATGGAAAGACATATACTGAGATAGACTCTATTTTAAATACTATATATGTGAAAGACCTAGAAGATATCTGATGTATTCTAATTTCAAGTAGCTGCTTAGCTAAAGTTATACTATAAAGAAATAACATAGAAGTAATCAAATCAAGAAGCAAATATTCTAAAAAAATTCTCGACTTACTAGAAGACACAAACAAGGTACTCTTGTAGAAACAAATAAGATATACAGGAGCTAAAGCTTTATATCTTTTTAAGAATACTAATAGCAATAACAAGAGAAGTGCAACAGTATTCTTCTCAAGTGAAGCAGATTGCTCAAATAGCTCAAAATTTACAGTTCGCTATTACAATAACAAACTTAAGTAGGCTACAATAAGAGCTAATGAACATGTAGATAATGAGACATATACAGAGTTTATCAAAATATCTAGAGTACTACAAGAACAAAGCTCCATAAGTCTGGAAAAAATAAAAGAAGCTGAACAAGACTTAAGTAAAAGATGCTTGAAGTATATATTTAAAGAAGTATGGAATAAAGAAAAGGAAGATATAAAACAAGAAGAATAACTAGCACTAAATAGCTATAGAAATAGTCAGAAAAGAAGATCATCAAAGAAACCAATTACTGATTTAGATTATAAAAGCTCAATCTGCTCTAAAATTAGTAGTACAAGTAGTAGAAGTGATTACAAAAACAAAACTAAAGAAGGGTATCATTTAGATAGCCAAACAAATCTACAGAAAAAAGACAGAAGTAGTATAAGTATAAGCGTAGTTCTAAAAAGTTTACTAGTACTTGCAGAGAAAGAAGAATATGCACTTAAAGCTAAAAGCAGATATAGAAGCTCTAGAGCTCCTAATTGCTTCTAAAAAAGTATACCAGTTGAATTACAGAATGCCTTAGGTCTCCAAGAAGGAAAACTTGATGATTAGAAGAAGGCAAAACAAAGAATAAACCAAACTAAAGAGCATATAACAAGAGATTTCAGCATGTTAAAATTAGATATACACAATATTAATAACCTTAAAGTAAATAGTCACAAGTTAGACATACTCTTAGAACAGATGAGAGAAGAAAGTATAGATATTATAGGAACAAGTAAAACAAATATTTCTGAGTGCCAAGGAAAATTTCTGATCTCTAGAAGCAATGATTATATAAGGTTTTGAGCTAAAGCAAATAATGATAAGCTTAAAGGATCAGGAGTCAGATTGGTTATTAAAAGAAATTGAAAAAAGCATATAGAGTGCTGTCAACTAAAAGGGCCTATTTTTACATATATTTCATTTTGAGATAATTGAGTTTAATCATTTGTTTTGATTTTCGGACTGATCCGGATTAACCAAATTTCACGATTTTGATTGGTTAAAAATAACAGGCAGCTATCGAGTAATCTCGTGATGTGCTTGGCCTCGTGTAATTTTTCTTTACATTCTTCTACATTATCTCTATTTTTCATTATGCAAATCGACTTTCATTTATAATTGAAAAATGTCAATCATGTCAAAATATACATGAATTTAATAAAAACTCATTTTTTTTAAAAATGTAAAAATGAGCCCTTTTAGTTGACAGCACTCCATATCAACAAATCGATAGATTTAGAAACTACTATATTAACACAATATTACTATTTAAAAAAATTAAGTTAGTAGTCATTAATATTTATATTTCATCAAGTGACAAAAAAGAAAAGAAGAAAATATAACAATACATGATATAAAAAATCAGAGAATATGAAAGAAACAAAACTCAAATAATAGTTATAGAAGACTTTAATAATATCAGATAGGTCTGGTAATCTTAGTGTAGTGGTTAGGTTGCCAGACTGCCATGCAAGAGGTCTAGAGTTCAAATCCTACTGTATACAGAATTGAATAATTACCTAGACATCTGTATCTAATTTACAGAAAACTCTGCTCGTTTCTGGAGTTGTAACCCTATAAATCACATTGCACCAATACCAATCAGGTACTGGAAGTATGACGAGGCATTCAGCGAGACATAATATTATACAAATAAATCTTGATAGGATCTATAGGCAGGGGACCTGCATGGTAAAAATCCTAAGTTAGATGAAGTAGTACGGATTTTGATAGTTATACCAGTTAACGTCTGATTTGGAAAAGAAAATCTGCATACGAAAAGATCAGTGAAATAGATATGAGTAAGTCCTGAGTACAGAAGGATCGATGAAACAGGTACAAGTAAATTTGTTATATAAGGTCATACAGCAATACCAACCTGGCTTAGCGGCTAACTAGATTTGGGAAGATCTGTCTCATGTGATATCTAGTGGCAAAGCAGGCAACACCAAGCAACAGATTTGGGAGGATCTACTTTATGTGATATCTGGAGGTACAGATGACTAACTTGGTGGAAGGCCACAGTAGGAACCGAGTTTGTATAAACATCGAACAAAGGTATATGCAAGCTAGATTGGGATATAGCGTAGCATAGTTAGGTACTACAGCACCCATCAGTTAGAGAGTTGGTGAAGGGATACCTTGAGATAGGGTCTAGGCTCCAAACTATAAAGTTTGTGGACTAATGTCAGCTCAAGTGTCTTCCAGGAGAAGTAGCATAGAGTTAGGTGAACCTTGGTAAAAAAGAATAGAATACGAGTAAGTATCATAGGGCCAGAGAGTTTAAATAGGTAATCTTCAAATAGATTTCAGGTATAGTAGCTA